AAGCAAACAACATGTCGATGTCTTCTTTAACACCTTCCACATTTGCATACGTTTTCCCATTAAGATGGTTTTGCAGCGACGACAAAGATGGTAATCTGATGGTGCCATATCTGGAGAATATGGTGGGTGGGGGAGAACTTTCTAACCTAAATCTATAATATTGTTTTGCGTCAAACGTGCCACATGTGGACGTGCATCATCGTGGAGAAGAACACCTTTACTATTGACGAGTGAAGGAAGTTTCTGATAAAAGGCTTGATTTAAACGTTCCAGTTGCTGACTATAGATCTCTGCATTGACAGTTTGCTATGGATTGAGGAGCTCGAAATGAATTACTCCTTTGATGTCCCACCAAATGCAAAGCATCACTTTCCGCGGATGGAGTCCAGGTTTGGGGGTTGGAAATGGTATTTGTCTAGGATTGAGCCATACTTTTTGGTGTTTAATATTCCCATGGATAATCCATTTTTCATCACCGGTGACAATTCTGTCCAAAAATGGTTTCACGCGCATTACGTTCCAGAAGAGACGAAGCAACGTTCACACGTTGGAAACGATGATCATCGGAGAGTTCGTGAGGCACCCAAACATATTATTTATGGAATTTTCCTTAGATGTTTACGTATTGTTTCATGAGAGACATACAATTTCAGGGCCATTTCACAAGTGTGTTGCCTTGAGTTAGACTCAACAAGCGTCTTCAGAGCATCAATATCAATTCCAACATGTCGGACCCTGCCATCACAGTTTTAAGGCTAAAGTCACCTTAACGAAATTTGCTGAACCATTGTTGACACTTATGAACGTTCAGAACATTTCCATAAACTTCTTTGATATTCTTTGTGGCTAAAGAGTCGTTGTTTCCCTTCTTGTATTCAAACAGCATTACATGTCGAATATGTGTCTCGTCGTGTGCCATCACTATAAGGGATTACAGTATACTAAGCTTTACACACGATATAGGCTACACTAACATTTAACTATTATACGTGATGTACCTTTTTTGGGGGGATGGTTTGTTTGTTTTTGAATTTCGCGCAAAGCTACACGAGGGCTATCTGCGCTAGCCGTCCCTAATTTAGCAGTGTAAGACTAGAGGGAAGGCAGCTACTCATCACCACCCACCGCCAACTCTTGGGCTACTCTTTTAACCCTTTCAGCCATGGGGGTGTTATAATGTGACGGTCAATCCCACTATTCGTTGGTAAAAGAGTAACCCAAGAGTTGGCGGTGGGTGGTGATGACTAGCTGTCTTTCCTTGTTAAGGCACTCGACTCGCAATCTGAGGGTCGCGGGTTCGAATCCCCGTCACACCAAACATGCTCCCCGGCATGGCCAGGCCTTGGAGGGATGGTTAATGAAAGTGTTCCAAAACGCGACATTAATTTCTTGACGACCTAATACAAACCTTATGGCGATAATAACGACATGAATTTACATTTAGGAAATGTTACATATTCATAATAACTAAAAGGTTCACTTTAATTATATATCAACTAACTCTGTGTCTCTGCAGGAGGACACACAATGGTGTCTAGGAAAATTTTGTAATTAATAGTACCTAAAAATTGAGCTTCCATTAATGTTTCTATTGAGTAAATGTAGTTACATTATGTGTCCTTATTGCTTTTAACTTGTAATGGCTGTTAAAAGATCTAGAAATTTATCTGTGTATTCATACTTATGCCATACCCCTATACACTATACAATGTACAGAAGTTGTTTTCTTAGTGTAAAGCTACACAAGGGGTTGTCTGCAGGAAGTTGAACCCTAGATGTTTGTGTTGTAACTCCCCAAACCTAGAGCTGACCCATCAGAAGACAATGCATAGAATATAGTACAAGTAAATCGTACACTTCTGTCTTCTATCCCTCAACCATTGTTTGAAGTACAACGACCATTCAAAGAAAACCTTAGTGGCACAGTTGAGAGAAAAATCACCCGAAAATTGAATTATCCACTATCTATTCTAACATATGAATAAAGATCATCACATAAACGAGTACCTTAACCATTTTGCACAATATTTTCTGTCTTAACTATATTAAACCAAAAATGCATCTATATGGTACATCCTTACTTCTCATCTAGATTTTGTTTATATAATTTGGCTTGCAATTAGATATACATGACAATTTAAGTTTAATGTGAGTGTTATGATTTAAATAGTTTAAGTTACGGACGATTGTTAAATTTAATTGTATTTAGAAGATATAATTTATTGCAGGTTTGTTTACGTAAGTGTGCGAATCATACATTGTGTAGTTCAAATGTTGTGAATTGGCACTTGTTGTATTATTGCGTTATGTTACTAGAACCTTCTTGGTTTTTCTCGTTCTTTCAACTGAGAATTATTGCATCATAATATCTCGTAGTGTATGGAACGTTCTAGACCTCGGTCAGGCTATAAATACGCGTCCAAAATGTAGTTTGAAATAACTACTTTCATAAGTACTTAGATCTAGACTGCATTATTGTGAGTTTGGCCGTAAAGAGCATGTAGTGGAGATTTATAAAGTGAAATTATCACAGATTGTATTCTAATAACAAAGTAGAAAAGAAATAAATTGTCTTGTCACTTGTGTTCTAAAGTAATTGAACCAGACTGTGTGGACTTTAACGTAAAGGAGACAATTATTTATAGCTCTGGATACAACTGTGATAACCAATGGTGTAACGAAGTTTGATATATACGTTTGACTTGTTTTAATATATTATTTTAAAACAATTGGAATGTGTGCTGTTTGTTTATGGTTGAAATTTATCGCCAAGAAGTCACAGACACCTACTGTAAAGAATTCGGCACATGCATAAATCCTGACAGGTTTTCTTAAGATAATATTTGTTTTTTATTAAACGTTATATTAACCTTACGACTAGTGAGCTTTTATACAGTTATACTTCACAACTTGTAACCAGTGTAATTATATTGAATAAGTTCAAGGATTATTATTATTATTTCTAACTCGAAAGAACATGCTTAACCACACGATATTAAGTTTACGAAACGTAGAGCTCATTAGATGATACTTACCTGTCTGTGTGTTTAAATTCATTGTGCAGAGTTGGTGCTGAAATTTTATGTTGAGGAGAGTCTGGTCTTTTCGGAAAATCTGGGAATTTGAATTACTTATGAAAATTCCATCACTACAAAAAATGTTCTACATAGATAAAGTAATTAACTATAATCATTTGTCCATTTCAAATAACAGAATATAGATTTATTTTTTTCATATATCGCATTTCTTATGAAATGTGTATAACAAATTAGGTATTCTTTATTTTTGGGCCTTTCTGTTATTTATTTCATATATTACATTCCGTACTATGCTGTTTCCGTGTTCTCAAATCTCAAGATACTATCTTCATTAATTTTAATTATTTTATCGAAAATAGTTAGTCTTTTTTGTTTTTATATATCCCTTCCTACTTATTACACTTTGGTTTTGAATTCTTATTTTTCAACATAATCCACTAATTTCTTTTACATACGACATGAAAGTGAAATGCTACAAAGTTACTGTTTAGCTTATTAAAGTTATATACCTTTTCAGAGCGTATCCTTTCGTATATAATTTGTTATGTTTAATTACATAGAAAAATATTAAAGAGTTGCTTAGCACTAAAGTAATTTTTTAAGTTAACTATGAAGCTGAGGCTTTTCCTTAATAAACTTTATTTGTTTTTATTGCAAGGTTTATAAAGTGTTTGGTGTTCTTAGTTTCATTAAAATATTATATAAAAGGAAAGCATTTCGCTTATAAGCGTTTTCGAAATGCATATCTAAATATTAAATAATCTGTTCATCCAGCACTTTTGTTGAAAAAGAATATAAAGATTATTTGTTTGTTGTTTAAGATAATTTTGAATTTTCATATTAACCAATCGAAAATCATATGAAATTGAAAGGATTTTACCATTTCTGCATCACACATACAGACTTGGAATTTACACTGTACTATAAATAGCTAGAGCTGATAATTAAACAAAAAGGAGATGTAAAAGCTGGAGACGGCTTGAATGGGTAATGAAGAAAAACTTTAATGTAACAGCAAATGTACAACGTTTCGACAAGTTTTTGTCATCAAACCAGCGGGTGCTTCTGACTGATTGTCCTCCCTCTGTTCCTTAGTTCTAAATTAATAACAGATCTAGTTAAGCGCCTTGGAGTTTTGACCTGTCCTGTATGTCGCATATGTTGCCCCAGGTTGAAAATACCAATATCAATTTTTCTATTCATTGCTTCTTGGAAACTGACAAATATCCAATAAAAAAGTAACTTTAAAAAACTATTGAATAATTTAGTCTTGGAAACAAAATCTACTTATTCTTATTATTCATTTACCTTTTGCCCAACCTAATGCAAGAAATGTTTCAAAGATTGTGTAGAATGCACTATCAAAATGCCTTATATTAATTAAGAACACTTGTACTAAGTTAATTCCATAAGTTTTATAACTGAAAAACTTCCATGTGTGATAATTTAAATGTAAAATAGAAAATGAGTTGATTGTAAAATTTTAATAGTTATTGCAAATATATATATATGTGTGTATATATTTTTCCGTTTATACTTTTTATTATCAGTAGCGTTGCATTTTAAGGAAACAAAGTATTTCTCTTTAATGTCTTATATTAGGAAACACAATTTATTTACAGGTGAAAGAGGTAGGAAGAGTGAAATCTGTCGTAATCTAATTATATAAATGCTTAAAGAAGTGTAATCGAGATCTAAGTGGTGGTTTCATTTAAAAGTAATTCGACGTTTGTATTTTAGAAGATGTAGGAACTATAATTTGTCAGGTAAAAATCCAAATTTATTATGTGTAGCTTTTATAAAACTTAAAACATTAAATACCTGATAAACATATGACAGTCATGATTTCATCAGATGTTATATTTTGAATATTTTTACATTTTGTATAAGAATATTCACAAATATGGTTAGATTTCAAAACATTTTGCATATAAACTCAACATAGCACCATAAAACATTTTTTATTATTATTGACATTAAATTTTTGAGTATAGAAAACTGGAGAACACTTACCACCGGAAATAAATAAAGATCCTGAAGGTGTCCTTGTTAAGTATAAACCCTCGAGATCACGATCTCTTTCCTGTCTCAAAGTGCTGGGTCTAATCAGGGGGAAAGGTTGTTTACCATCCCCTCGTGCCATAAAGTTCTCCCTTCTCGATCTATTCATGAATAGGTTTCTTCTTACAGATACTGTATCTTGTTGTAGAACCGTGGGATCCACCATACCTGCCAGTAGTCATAAAAATATTGATTGTTACATATAAAACAATATACATTGTTGCTTCTTATTACAAATTCATACCGACACATGTTTCCTGCAAAATAAATATATAGTTATCTGTTTTATCAATGTTTCCTAGTATTTCTAGTGGATATCTAACATTTATATGTACAATAAACTGAGATGGGTTATTGTGTTTTTTTTTTCGAAAGTCTGAAATTCTGCGTATGGAAAAAAAAAATTGACAAATTAAAACAAATCTTTATGATTTTTTTTTTGTAAACTTTACAAACACAGCAAAAAATAGTTTATTGGTTTAATATAGATTTACATTTTTGCAAATTAGCTTAGTTAAAATGTTCAAACACAAATTCTTATTTGGTAGTAATATTCGTACATCTTTATATTCTAATTGACGCTCACTATTCTCCTAAAATTAGATAATTTTTTAAAATTCAATGTTACCTTAACTAAAGTCACAAAACCATCTTTACAAAATAATAACTTGTATTGACATGATGAAGATGAGAAATACAGTAAGATAAAATGTATTATACTATTGGAAAGATAAGCTCAAAAAGCCAATTCTTATTCCGATAGCGACCAAATTCATCCATATTAAAGACGTGTTTGTTCTCTTTAATCTTTAGATCCTATTCTTATTCATCAATTCTACTGACTTTGTAGTGAGGCGCACGTATTTGCTTCGCACGACTAGCAGTAAAGTAACTTCTTTTTGTAGCCACTTTCTCTTTAGTGTTGACAATTTTTTGTTTCTAGTAATCCGTATACCAAATACGTTTCTGAAAATATTTTATTGTTACCAAACTAAGTGCATATAGGTATAACAGAATTCAGATCAAACGACTATCTGTTAACAATAACACATAGGAACATATTTAAAATTATTTATATAAGAAAAAAAAATTCATATCATATAATACATATACATAACAAATGATATATCAAAAATATATACACCTTTGCAATTAATTCAAAGAAAATGAATAGTAAATGTAGATATCACAAAAACTCAATATCATTGATGATGCTTCGAACTTATTAATGATTTCTATGATACTATTGTTACGAAACACACAACCAAATTATTTGGGATACTGATTAACATGTTAAGCTGCAACATCAGTTATCATTGTAGATGACTTGTGTGAGAAGGGATGACCTGAGGTTAGAAACATATTTCTTAGTCTTGACATTAGCCTTCTTGGCTTATACTATCCTGTATCGTGAATCTGATAGCATGTCTCCTTCACCAATACTATAGAACATAATACTACTATTTTGAAATAATGATGAATTTCACAGTGTAATATTTTATTCATTTTCAAAATTCATTCATCGTTCATGAAAGTTATCAAGTTAAATTCAATCATCCATTTTGAATAACAATACGAACAGCATGTTCTAACATTCGAATATAAACGTCACGTTCAAATATATATAATGTGTGAATAAGTTATTTTCATTAGACACTTTTTTTTTGGTATTTCCACCATTTTATTTTTAACACGTCGATCCTTGAAAGGTACTTAACGGCAACTTTTCTACTGTACCTTCAACCACAACGTACTGCAACCATCACGATGACTCCTACATCGTACACCTTTCTGCTTTCGAAAGTACCTCTTATATGCAAGTTAATGCAAACTGCCTTGGTATTCAGGCAAGACTAACAAATGTAGATGATGATTCCTCAGCAATGTCGTATTTTTGAACACTTCCCGTGCGTTCATGATTCATACATGTAATTCTCTCGCATAATGTTTGTAAGACTAAGGAGGTGAGTAGCTATAATTCAGGTTTCTTTCAACTAAAATAACAAAAATAAGTACAACAATGTGTGTGTGTTTTGTTATAGAAAAGCCACATCGGACTATCTACTGTGTGCATCGAGGGGAATTGAACCTCTGATTTTAGCGTTGTAAATCCGAAGACTTACCGCTTTCCACCGGGGGACAATAAATAAATCGTAATCATTCTACTACTTATTCTGAAAATACTTACTGTACTTCTCATTCATTAAAAATAAGCAATGAATCTGTTACCTAGAATATTCGCCAAAAGTTAGAACAGCGGTAATAAAATGTTAGCATTTAATGGAAATTAGAAATGATAAGTGTTAAAAAGTACTTTTCCAACCAACATTCTCTGTCGGAATAAAATTAATTAAAATTTTTGGAGGTCAAAGTTACATTTTCATCAACGTAAAACTATCTGTAATATTCAACAAAAATAAAAAAACAAAGACATGCTGAAGCCATAACCTGAAAAGAAAGAGAATAAAAAACTAACAATAGTTAAACACTGATATAGGACGTACATAAAGGAAATATCTTGAATAATATATTTTAAAGACGAATAAAGACTGGATCATCACGCAATAGTACAATATTGAAGGTGATTGAAGACTATGACGAGTCGACATCAAAGATTGCGAAACGAGACAAATCATTTTTCTTATTTTATAAAACTATGCAAGAGAAAGTTTTGTAGTAAAGAACTTTTTAATCTGAGCTCGAAATGAGTTATTTTCGATTATATAACGGTTTAATTTTTATTTTTTTAATTGGACAATAAATTGTAATTACATAGCATCAGTAATTTGAACGCTATTAAATAGTTCCACAATAAATATTGATTTCCAATATTACTATGTATCACAAAAAATAATTGTAAGAACTTTGTCTCTAAAGTCTAAAAGCTAACTATACATTGAATGTGTTGTGAGAATTCTCAGGTAAAATAAACGAAAATAGTGATTATTTAAGCTATATAGCAGATGAAAAACGAAGAATGCAAAAATAATGGTTCTTTTGGAACAACATTCAGAAAACTGTGATAGATAAACGTACTTCATCATAACCTGATGAATACAAGACCTCTGAATTACAGTTCATAAATGGCTTGTTGTCACGTCATTGCCGCAGTAATATCTGTTATTATTAATACGTGACGAATTATATGAGTAACTGAGACATTAATTGATTCTTATTTCGAAATCGACGTAAGTCTTCACAAAAACATGAACATGAAAACCAACAGCAACGACGTGAATATGATCACTAGCATAGTAATACTCTCCTTTGTATGAATATAAAGCGTGGGCCTAGTGTACGAATATGAAAATTCCAGAAACCTCTTTGTGGAATTGTTATTTTCTTTCACTTCCTTATTTTCTGAAGCTGCGTTCTTACGGTTGTAGCTCCCCCTACTTGGCTGAGAACTGCAAACATTATAAGTTCTACAGTAACTTGTGTTTCGGGGAACCTGACTAGCGTTTTGTAATTTTCCTGACCAATGTTAATATCATTCTCATGAAATAAACTCAGGAAAAATACATTTGGTTAAAAACGAAGAATTATTGCTCTCTTTGAGGCTTGTCTTGGATCAGAAGTGACAAAAACAATATAACACTTGCTAAGCTAAAAACGAATAGAGAAATACTTTGAAAAAAATTAAGAGGGTTAATTTAGATATTGAAAGGTTGAAAGCGTTACATACAAAATATACTGATATCTATATACGACATTTATCTAAATAGTAAACATAAAATAATAACAATTTATGAATATAACTAAAGGTGTGAAATCTATGTGTGAAATAGATTCATTGCATCGCTTGTTTTCAGCTATAATTTCAATAATAATTGGTTTTCGCTGAATCATTTAAGGTTTAAATTAATATATTATTGTTATTATACTAAATTATAAGCTCATGGATTTTGGACTAACCGAACGATCCCCCCTAACTGGCAGATATTACTGCAAGTTACGACTTACAATGTTGTTAACAGCAAGGTACTCAACTAATGATTCAGTGCATTCCAGTAACTAAAGGTTTTTGCTTGTGGTTTATGAAAGTCAGTTTGTTTCACTAATTAATTTGCATTTAACGTAATTTTGATCAGAAAATTAACATCAGCGATAATCTTAAATCTCTCATTTCTCAATCTCGATCTCAAACTAATACAGGCTTAGAAAGCATGTAATTATATTCTAAAAATAGCTGTCTATTCTTCTCAGGACAAGATATACCCACGTGACTGACCATTGGAAAAGATCATTGTATATTTCCCCATAATATGCTTTACTTTACAGGAATATTTTCCACAAAAAAAGTGAATGTGATACCCCAGTTAAATGACCTACTTTTGTACATTACTAGGGATAGACGAATTCTAAAAGCATATGAATGAATGCAAAGAAGAATAAGTAATGATATCTCAACTACAATATATCTGCCATATCCAGAGCCGACGATTCTTTTTGACATCAGAGCTCATTAGGAGCTACTTATATCATCAGTTACATGAACAATAACTGTAATGGTTTGAACTAGATTAAGTAAAGGGTAATTATTATCAAATTTATTATGATACTTAGAAATCAGAATTATGATATAAGGATAAATAACAAATTATTATTTATTTATTTTTAACACCAATATTTTATTATTTTTTGCTTGAATTAACTTTATTATCATTAACAATAAATGTCAAACGAAAGCTAAGTTTCTTTTTCATAGAGGGGGGGTCAAACAACAACAGTGTCATAAGAAGAAAATTACATTAGTAATTCTAAGAACTCATGAGTGAAAGTCAAAAATAATATCTAATTTTAGTGTCGTCATCATCATTCTATATTAAGAATGCATGCTTAATATGTAGAGAAATCTTGAAAATGCTATAGCAAAAATGAGGGTAAGAAACATTTAATATGGTTACATACCACATGTAGAGTTTTGAAAATGATAGATCAGGCTGGCATGCATTTTTAATTATAGATTGTATTTACTGTGAAAATGTTACAACGTAAATCAAATTGCTATCATACAGTAATAATCTTTGCAGAGAAAAGGACAAGTATTTATGAAGTGAGTTGATGGTTGTGAGGGTTTTTCTCATTAATTGCAAAAATCAATCCAAAAATCGTATGTTTGGGGAGAAATTTGCAAGACTAAGTGATCAAAAGTCTCTGGCACAGTT